CGAAGAGGCCAAACTCATTTATCTATCAGAACGTTTTTGAAAGATGTCGGCATTTGCTTCTTCTCGGCACTTCGACGGCCCAAGACGGCCAAAGAGGCCCCAAAGATCGCCCACGAGGCCTCCAAGACGGCCCCATGACGGCCCAAGAGGCCCCCAAGACGGCCCCAAGAGGGCCCCAAAGGCCTCCAAGACGCCCAAGATGGCCTCCACGACGGCTAAAATGGCCCCAAAATGCCTCCAAGACGGCCCCAAATGCACCCAAGACGGCCTAAGATGGCCTCAAGGTGGTGCAAGACGGCCCAAAAGGCCCCCAAGAGGCCTCCAAGACGGCCCAAAAGGTGTCTAGGAGGTCTTCCAGGAGGGCACGGAGAGGCCAAAATCAGTGTTTGTCCTAATTTTTTTTGAACGAGTTTGGCATTGGCTTCTTCTCGGCATTCCGACGGGTGAAGACGGCGCAAGAGGCCCCCAATATCGCCCAAGAGGCCTCCATGATGGCCCCATGACGGCCCCAAAGGTTCCAAGACGGCCCCAAGAGGGCCCCAAGACGCCCAAGATGGCATCTAAGAAACCCTGATCTGCCCCAAGAGGGCCCCAAGACGACACACAGGCCCCCAAGATGGCTTCCGACGGCGTTAGACAAGCCATGAACGCTCTATGACGGCCGAAGAGGCCCCCAAGGAGCTCCCAAAGGCATCCGAAAACCCTCCAAGAGGGTTTTCAAGAAGCGCCCAGGAGGCCCCAAGAGTGCCCCAAGAGGCGCCCAAGAGGCCTCCTCCTCCTCCTCCTCCTTCTCCTCCTCCTCTTCCTCCTCTTCCCCTCGCCCTCACGCGGCCCCCAGGGATGGCCCGAAGAGGCCGTCCAAGGCCACCCCCTTGCTCCCAGAGGTCTCTCGGTTCGCTTTGTTTCCCTAGATGTGTCCCTTCGTCCCTTTTCCCGTCAGCTCTCGTGGGCAGGGCTTCTGAATGGGCTGGTGGGGCTACGCGAAGCGTGAAGAATTGCCCGAGGCAGCTGGGTAGGACCCGCGTGGGTGCTCCAATTTTGAATCTGACGCTGGCAGCAGCTGTCGGGAGCACTGGTTGTCTTTGGTGAAGATCACGTCCACGTTGCTACAGCGTGCGCTGCGCTGTTCTGGCCAGCTGCTGCGGGCCTTCAGTCTGGCCTCATCTGGGCGGGGCGTGCCGAGAGCTCTGCTCGCCGTCGCGCCACATGTCGTGGGGGAAGAGATCGTTCCTGAGAGGACGGCGCTGGTTCCGAGACAGAGGGTTCGAGATGCTACAGCTGCAGTTTCGATCGTCTCTACTCGCAACGGGCCGAGGACAGGGAAGAGGCCCCTCTGTTCCCTAAGCTGCTGGTGTTAGCAGAACTTCGGAATCTCGAAACTCAATTGTCGGGCAGACGGCTCCTCAATCCCTGCAAATACTGACCCACCGGCAATCTTCGTTTTAAATGGAGGCCCCAAATTGTGATACCGTGCACCCCGAACAAAGGCCAACACCGTGTGACCAAGACCCTGTGACGGCGATCGGAACTGCCAACAAACAGGCTAAGAACCCAACGGCAGGACACCATGGTGGCAACTGGAATCTCAGCGTGCAATCTCGGATCGTAAGGCCATGACCCTTTAGCGGTAGCTGGGAATCCCATCGCGCATTCCTGGAGAGCGTTGGCCAGGGCGCTGTAGGGGTGGCCAGACATCCCAACACACTTCAAGAGACACTGTGGCCATGACCTCCATGATGGCGATTGGAAATCCGATTGTACGGCTAGGACTCATGACCTGAGACCCTGTAGCAGTGAGTAAAGACCCGGCAGGACTGGTACGTTTCCTAAAGGGGCGCCAGCGAAAGACACTTCTGAGACCGCGGCGTTGTACTTGAGACTTCGAAGCGTGCGAGCGAGAGCGTCGTGCAGCGACCTCGTGGGCGAAGCTGAGACGCCTTGAGAAATCCGCATCGCCCGTCTCAAAAGTCCCCTTCCCTGGGGCCCCTTTGGGAACCACGTGAAGAACTCGTGCGCGGAAATCCGAGCACACCAACCACGGCTCCGTGGTTAGGGCCAGCGAGCGGCGGCTGGAGGTCCCATCACCAGAAGCCGCGCTCCTAACTTCTTGGCTGGGGCCCTATGGCGGCGACCAGACCTCCCAGCACTCGAGCCAGAGCCTCAAAACCACCGCAAGAACCCAACGCGGACGAATCCTTGAGGAGCAGGTCAGAACCGCGAAGTGCAAGGAATGTTTGGGAAATAACGGCTCGCACGAAGAAGTGTACCCGGGGCAGTCTGACGGGCGCGCCTGTTATGCCGTAGAAGCCGGCGATGGCGCCGATGCCGTAGGGCGACGACTTCAACTTGGACGGACGGGCCGGCGTCAGCTTCCGGCCCGGGCTGGGCTCCGATAGATGACCCAACGAGCTCGCTCGATCCGTTGCCTGCTGCGTCCCCCGCCTCGAGCCCGCTCGACTCCCCCGCTCGTCGCCGTACTGCTCTGTCTGCCTCTCAAGAGGGGGTGCGCCCCCTCTGTTGCCAGCTCCGTGGCTCATCAAGATCATGCGCACGGCTCGATCTCGATGGCGATTGCAAATATCCGCTCCCGATGGCATCTGGCTTCTGGCTCTCGCACGCCAGGTGACGGGGTGCCTGCGCAGATCGAAGCCGGGACAGCTACTGCCGAGGAGCACGCCCAAGGCAAGCTTGGGAGCACTATAGTTATGCACCTTCAGACGACGACGACGACGACGACGACGACGACGACGACGACGACGACGACGACGACGACGACGACGACGACGACGACGACGACGACTACTAGTACTGCCTGTTCGGTGTCCCCCCGTCCTCCCTTCTCCTCCTCCTCCTTCCTTCCCTCAACTTTGGCTGGGCGCCCCAAACCGTGGTCACGCTCCTCGCCCAGCTGTTCCCTTGCATGAGTCCGCCCTGGCTTGCCTAAGGGCGCGGCAAATGTAACCTGCGAGTCGACGCTGATGTGCACAAAATGCTGCGTGATGAGGCCTCAACGGACGCTGCCCTCCAATCGAGAGTCCATTCATGTTACTCCCTCGGCTCTCCCCCCAATCGTTCAAATCCATTTCCCTTCCTTGCCTTTCGCCTTTGCACGCCCACCGTCTCTGGCTCTATCTCTCTCTCTCTCTCTTCCCATTTCTGTTTCCCTTGGCATGTTTGCTCTGGTTCTCTCCCTCCTGCACGGTCTTTCGTTTCACCCCGTATATCTGTCCTGCTTGAGAGCCACACGTGCAAGCATTACTCACTTGCAGAACACACATAAGACAAGGCAGCCGAGCACAAGGTTTCCCATAATGTGCTGGTGCGCTGCTCTTTTCAATGCTAATTGCCCGTGCCCCCCCTCGCAGACCCGGGAGCGAGGGAAGAGCTGCCCAGGGTTCGGGCGGTCAAGTAGAGGACGAGAAAACGCCATAAACATAAACTTTTGGCGCTCCGCTCGGATTTCTCGGATCTGCGCTGGACCCCCCTCCCTGGCCTGCGGAGAGCGCCAGGGGCGGCGCCGGGGGCGCCGCTGGGGGGGCCCAGCGCGGATCCAAGAAATCCGCGCGGAGCGCCAAAAGTTTATGTTTATGGCGTTTTTTCTTCTTCGATCAAGCTCAGCGAGCGCGCATAGAAGCGCGCTGCCAGCCCCGATCCTGTCGAGTCACGCTTTCGTCGGTGCACCCTGCCCTCCTCCCCCAAACACCACGGCGCCCGGGCCTTCCTGGGTGCGTTCTGGCCAGAATATCGTGGCGGATCCAGGTGTGGCCACGTTGGCGCCACGGACGGCCCCAAAGAAAACTCTCAAGCATACACAAACCTTCGTCCTGGGTGCTCGAACCTCGACGCTCCTCCTCCCTCCCCTTCCTCCCTCCGCTTCCCCCTTCTCCACCAGCGGCGTCAGTGGGAAACACCCGGCGCTCGACCTCGGACTGCCCAACGATTGCCCTGACCTCGAGTGCCAATCAGGATGGGTGCTTGCGACCACCGTGCGAAGTATCCAGGGTTCTGACACCAGGACAACAACGGGGTGGCGGACTGGCACAGTTGAGGGTCCCCAAAACGTGTGGTGACAGACTTGGCGGTGACCTCGAAATCCGCAATGACCTCGCAGCATCCATCACCGCTCTGTTTTGGGACCTCGGAAGCCCCAGTCGTCCGAGACATCGTCGGAGAACGACCCAAGTCTCCGAATCCCCACCGACTCACCACACGGTGTGGTCAACACACCGGTTGGGGGTCCCCGACACAGGGGGATGACAATGACCTGAGGCCCATGGCCCCATGGGGAAGGGCGGGAGCCGCCTGTGTGTGTGTGTGTGTGTTTCGCCCCGCGGGCCAGGCCGACGGCCCCAGCCGCCACGGTCGCTTCCTCTGGCCGTCGGCCGAGAGGTTAGCTTCCCCCGCCAAACTTTTGCGATGGTCGGGCTCATAGCCGCAAAGCTGTAGCGTCTGTGCCACAAGAGTGAGAACGAGAAAGAGAGAGAGAGAGAGAGAGGGCGAGAGAAAGAGAGAGAGAGAGAGAGAGCAACAAGTAACACGTACCCGACTCGGGCGAAGTGGCCTCATCAACACATGCAGATGTAGTTGCGGGCTGCTTGGGCAAGAAGAGAAGCACGGCACATGGGTGGAGGAAGACTAGCGGCCAGTCCTGGGACATAACAACATCCTTCTAGAACGCGAGACCCTCCGCCGGCCAAACTGAAGAACATTCGAGGGTGCCCTCCCCCAGGATGCGCAGGAACATCCAACAAACGCGAAGAACATTAGGGTATCCTCCCCGAGCCGACCTCGATCCTCTACCTCGGTCCGACCGTAGCTCGCCCCCCCCCCCCTGACCCTCCTCCTTCTCCAGACGAGTTGCACACTTTTTGGGGCGCTCTGCCGCCCTTAGTGCAAATTCGACAAATTCGTGACGCTGCAAGCCGTGCCGTGCTCCCCCCCTCCTCCAGCCCACCGCCGTGCGGGCGGGCAGCCCATCCGCGGCACGTGCCCCTCCAGGCTCACTTCGCACGTACCCCCAGGAAGGTGCGCCAAGGCTGCTCCAGAAAGGCGTGGCCCAATATCGAGGCCACCAGCAAGCTGGTCGCGAACGTCCACGTCAGACCGCTCCGCCTGGTCCAGTGCTGGACGCCGTAGTGGACGGGCGCCTGAAGCACGAACGTCATGAGGCACACCTTCTCGGTCCATCTGAAGGGCGCGCGAGCGAAGAGCTTCGCGATAGGGTCCTTCTGGCAAGCCAAGCCCGCCACCATGATGCCCATGAGCGGGAGCAGCCCGCCCTTCAGGAGGAGCGGGGCCAAGGGCTTCCTGATCAGCGGGAGCCGGTCGTGCGGAGAGAAGCAGAAGGCGGACACGCCCAACGCCTCAGCGTGGGCCCCCAAACATCTCCCCACTCTGGCCGGGATCGCGGAGGAGGAGGAGGAGGAGGAGGAGGCGGAGGAGGAGGAGGAGGAGGAGGAGGAGGAGGAGGAGGATGCACCTGTCCGGGATCGGGCTCTGGCCAGGCTCTCGGGGCGGATCTGGCAGTGGCGCGCTGGCGTCCCCCTGCTCCTCCTCCTTCTGCTCCTCCCGGGTGGCCCGTGGAGGTGATCGGCCCGCTCGGCAGCATCGCCGATGAAGCGTCATCCTGCTCCTCCTCCTTTCCCCCCTTCTGCCCCTTCCTCCTGCTGCTCCTCCACAGCACGAGGCACGTCAAGACCGCTCCTCCTCCTCCTCCTCCTCCTCCTGCTTCCTGCCCCTCCGCCTCCTGCCTCCCTCTTCTTCTTCTTCTTCTTCTTCTTATTTTTTCTTCTTCTTCTTATTCTTCTTATTTTTCTTCTTATTAGTCTGCTTATGCTTCTGCTTATGCTTCTTCTTCTTCTTCTTCATTCGCCTCCTCCTCCTCGGCAATTCGGTGATGCGGACTTGTCTGCTCGTTAGGAACTGGAGCCCTCAGCCCCCCCCCCCTCCGCGACCTGCGCGGGGGTGGGCGAGCAACAACCAAGAAGCAAAGAGAGACAGAGAGAGAGAGAGAGAGAGAAGAAGGAACGGCGGATGGCCAACACGATGAGTGGACCACTCCAGGGAGAAGGGAAGGGGTGAGGCCCTCATCCTCCCCCAGACCCCCGACGTCATCATTTTTTCGTAGCGTCGACCCCCGGAGGTCTGGAGACACGAGCATTCTCTGGATCACTTCAGGCATGAAACTGTTCTTCTGACTTTTCGACTCGGTCACCACCTCCAAGAGGTATTCCGTGACAGTGTCATTGTGCCGTTGCACAGCCACTGCCCCAAGAAGACTACCTGAGTTCTGCGAATAAAGAAAAACGGAGGTCTTGACCCATTCCCTGGGACCGTCGTCGCATCCCGAGCTGTCTGTCGAGGGCCCCGGGGTCCGGCGAGGGCCCCCAGAAAATCGCGAACACCCTCTGTCGTGCTTGCTTCCTGACTCGAGGGGCTGCTGAACAAGCGCGCCCTTCGCACCCAGTCTTAGCGTTAGCACAAGCACCTCCAGTACGCACCCATCGCGCCGCTGCCAGATCCGCCCCGAGAGCCTGGCCAGAGCGCGATCCCGGACAGGTGTATCCTCCTCCTCCTCCTCCTCCTCCAGAGCGCGATCCCGGACAGGTGCATCCTCCTCCTCCTCCTCCTCCTCCTCCTCCTCGTCTGCCTCCTTCTCTTCCTCCTCCTCCTCCTCCTCCTCCTCCTCCTCTGCCTCCTCCTCCTCCTCCTCCTCCTCGTCCTCCTCCTCCTCCTTCTCCATGGCGGCACCGCCGCACCTCTGTGCACTCCTCACACGCTTCGTGGCCCAAGATGGGGGCCCTGCTGAAGGCCTCAATCATAAAGCCCGCATGGCGGCACCGCCGAACTTCGGCGCACCCCTCACACGTTTCGTGGCCCCGTAAAGGGCCCCACCGAAGGCCCAGATAGCAAAATCCGCATGGCGGCACCGCCTCACTTCGGCGCACCCCTCACACGTTTCGTGGCCCCATAAAGGGGCTCCACCGAAGGCCCAGATAGCAAAATCCGCATGGCGGCACCGCCCCACTTCGGCGCACCCCTCACACGTTTCGTGGCCCCATCAAGGGGCTCCACCGAAGGCCTAGATAGCAAAATCCGCATGGCGGCACCGTCCCACTTCGGCGCACCCCTCACACGTTTCGTGGCCCCATGGGGGGGCCCCACCGAATGCCCAGATAGCAAAGTCCGCATGGCGGCACCGCCCCACTCAGGCGCACCCCTCGCACGTTTCGTGGCCCCATGTGGGGGCTCCACCGAAGGCCCCAGAGGCAACGTCTGCATGGCGGCACCGACCTACTTCGGCGCACGTGGTCCCATATGGAGGCTCCATCGAAGGCCACGACTCCGCTTGGCGGCACCGCCCCACTTCGGCGCACCCCTCACACGCCTCGTGTCCCCGCATGGGGGCTCCACCGCAGGCCCCAGATAGCAAAGTCCGCACGCCGCCACCTCGCCATTTCGGCATACCCCTCACACGTTTCGTGACTTTTTCGTTGAGGAGCGTCGGCCCGCCAAGCTGCACCAGCGCACGGGGCGCGCTTCCTGCGCGGCGCGCCGCGCGCTGGCAAACGCTGCGGGCGCGCCTCGGGCCGCGCGAGTCACCGCGGGCCTCCCGCAGCGAGGCAGGCACGCCGCACCTTGGCATACTTATCCTTCGTAGCACTTGCCTTGCGGCAGTCGCAGCTGTATCTGGTCGTTTTCGCCAGGCTACTCGTCCAGGGGCGACAGCCCCCCCCCACTCGCGTGCCCCTCCAGGACGAGCCAAAGCCGCCACACGAGAGCTGCAACACGAGTCGGACGAGAATGGTGCCGCGATGCGATTGGCTCTGGATGCGTTCTAGGAGTTTCTGAATAATTACGTAGCGCCGTGCAGTTGCGGACAAGGGTGAGGGGGCGGCGGGGACGTCGGCAGTCTGCGAGGCTCTGACGAAGCCCGCCGCAGGCGCCTAATTCTTACAAGTCGTACAACCAGCTCGCCGCAGGCGCCGATTTTTCGTAAAAACAATGTGGTTGGGTCGCAAGGTGGGTCGCGGGTGAGTCGCGGGTGGGTCGCGGGCCGGGTCGCGGGTGGGTCTTGGGTGGGTCTTGGGTGGGTCGCAGGTGGGTCGCGGGTGGATCGCAGGTGGGTCGCGGGGTGGGGCGCGGGTGAATCGCGGGGTGGGTCTTGGGTGGGTCTTGGGTGGGTCGCGGGGTTGGTCGCGGGGTGGGTCGCGGGAGGGTCGCGGGTGGGTCGCGGGTGGGTCGCGGGTGGGTCGCGGGTGGGTCGCGGATGGGTCGCGGGTGGGTCGCGGGTGGGTCGAGGGGTGGGTCGCGGGGGGAACGACGACAACAAACAATAAACAACACACACCACTCAACAAAGGACACCAACGAACAACACCAGCAACACCACCAACAACAACAGCAACACCACCACCAACAACAACAACAACAGCAGCAGCACCACCACCACCAACAACACCAACACTAACATCAACAACAACAACACCACCACCAACCAACACCTCAATCAAACAACACCAACAACACCAACACCAAACAACAACAGCAACCGCAATAACAACAGCAACACCAGCAACAACAGCAGCAACACCAACAACAAACACACACAACAACCACCAACCACAAACACAACAACACCAACACCATCGACAACACCAGTATTACCAACAATAGCAACACCAACAACCACAACAACACCAACACCATCAACAACAACAACATCAACGCCAATAACATCACACTCAAAAACAGCATCAACAACATCAGCACCACCAACAACACCAACACCAATAACATCACCACCACCACCAACAGCAACAACATCAACACTACCACCACCATCAACAACAATAACAACACCAACAACAATCACAGCATTAACCCGCACGACAGAACCTCACTTCAGCCACGCGCCCAAGGACAGTAACACAGTAACTGCCCGTTCGGCCTCCTCACACTGACGAATCAAACAACGAGCTCGCCGCAAGCGCCGATTGCTTGCGGGCTGGGTCGCAAGTGGGTCGCGGGTGGGTCGCGGGTGGGTCGCGGGTGGGTCGCGGATTGGTCGCGGGTGGGTCGCGGGCGGGTCGCGGTGAGTCGCGGGTGGGTCGCGGGGTGGGCTTGGGTGGGTCTGGGTGGTGGGTCGTCGCGGGTGAGTCGCGGGGTGGGTCGGGGTCGCGAAGTGGGTGTGGTCGCGGGTGGTGCTGAGTCGCAAGTGGGTCGCGGGTGGTCGCGGGTGGGTCGCGGGGTGGGTCGCAGGATTGGTCGCGGGTGGGTCGCGGGTGAGTCGCGGGTGGGTCTTGGGTGGATCTTTGGTGGGTCGCGGGGTTGGTCGCGGGTGGGTCGCGGGTGAGTCGCGGGTGGGTCGCGGATGGGTCGCGGGTGGGTCTTGGGTAGGTCTTGGATGGGTCGCGGGCAAGGTCGCACGTTGGTCGCGGGTGGGTCGCGGGTGAGTCGCGGGGTGGGTCTTGGGTGGATCTTGGGTGGGTCGCAGGTGGGTCGCGGGGTTGGTCGCGGGTGGGTCGCGGGGTGGGTCGCGGATGGGTCGCGGGGTGGGTCTTGGGTAGGTCTTGGATGGGTCGCGGGCAAGGTCGCACGTTGGTCGCGGGTGGGTCTTGGGTGGGTCTTGGGTGGGTCGCGGGGTGAGTCGCGGGGTGGGTCGCGGGTGGGTCGCGGGTGAGTCGCGGGGTGGGTCGCGGGTGGGTCGCGGGTGAGTCGCGGGGGGGGGGGGGGGGCGACGACAGCAAACAACAATCAACCAACAACAAAAGACAACAACGAAACACAACATCACCAAACAAAAAAGCACCCAACAACAACACCAATCACATCAACACCAACAGCACCAGCAACAACAGCACCAACAACAACCAACAACAGCAAACAACAACACCAACAACAGCAACACCACCAACAACAACCAACAACAGTAACATGAACACCACTACCAACAACAACACCAGCAACAACAACAGCAACAACAACATCAACATTAACAACACCAACACCAACAACAACACCACAACCAACAACAACAATCCGCACCGCAGAACCTCACTTCAGCCACGCGCCCAAGGACAGTGAATGACCGTTCGGCCTCCTCACTCTGACAAATCATACAAAGAGCTCGCCACAGGTGCCGATTGTTCGTTCAAGCAATGTGGGAGGGTTGCGGGGTGGGTCGCGGGTGAGTCGAGGGTGGGTCGCGAACTGGGTCGCAAATGTGTCGCGGGTGGGTCGCGGGCGGGTCGCGGGGTGGGTCGCGGGTGGGTCGCGGGGTGGGCCGCGGGTGGGTCGCGGGCAGGGTCGTGGGGGGACGACGACAACAAACAACAAACAAACAACAAACAACACATAACACATAACAAGTACCAAGCAACAACAAACAACCAATAGCAACCAACAACCAATAACCACTGACCACAACAGCAACAGCACCACCACCAGCAGCACCACCACCACCACCACCACCACCACCACCACCACCACCACCACCACCACCACCACCGCCACCCAAAACAACACCAACAACAACAATCCGCACTGCAGAACCTCACTTCAACCGCGCGCCCACGGACAATGAATGACCGTTCGCCCCCCCTCACTCTGATCTAGAGGCCTACGTTTTTGCAGCCCGTGAGAAACTTCAGGGGATCTTGAGCATCTTCGGGGGAATCCTGGACATCAAAAGAATCTTGTAGATCCTGGAAATCAGGGGAACCGTGGAACGTCTCATCATCATGACCTCCTGCTCCTCCGAACGAGGACCCGACCACGCGCGGCCTCACCCAGCCCGCAGACGCCCCAAAAGATTCCGCAGAGGCTCTGCGGCGTCCCCGCTATGCCCCCAGGAGGCGTTGAAGGGTTCCAACGAGCCTCCAAGAGTCGTCGTCGTCGTCGTCGTCCGCGTCGTCGTCGTCGTCGTCGTCCGCGTCGTCGTCGTCGTCGTCGACCTCTTCGTCGTCGTCGTCGGGAATCTCTTGAGGCTCCCCGCGCGCCCTCTGGGGCCCCCAGAATGTTCCCGCATGATCTCTTCGAGCCCAAGAGAGGCCCAAGATGGGCCAACAGGGCCCCAAGAGGCCCTCAAGACGGCCCAAGAAAAACCCGAATCACCGAACGATCGGTCCAAGACGCCCAAGATGGCCCCATGGCCATTACCATGATAAACGTCATCATCATCAACATCATCATCATCATCATCACCATCACCATCACCATCACCATCATCACCATCACCATCACCATCACCATCACCACCATCACCACCATCACCACCATCATCATCATCAACAACATCATCATCACCATCAACATCATCATCACCACCACCACCACCATCACCATCACCATCACCACCATCATCATCATGTTCAGCATCAGCATCAGCATCAGCATCAGCATCAGCATCAGCATCAACATCATCACCATCACCATCACATCATCACCATCACCATCATCACCATCACCATCACCATCACCATCACCATCACCCATCACCATCATCACCATCACCATCACCATCATCATCATCATCATCATCATCAGCATCATCATCATCATCATCATCATCATCATCATCATCATCATCATCATCATCCGGAGCGCCCCGGATCGGCGGCACTGGCCGGAGGCCAGCACAATAAGGAGAATCTTGTAGATCCTAGAAATCAGGGGAACCGTGGAACGTCTCATCACCATGACCTCCTGCTCCTCCGAACGAGGACCCTCCCCGCGCGGCCTCACCCAGCCCGCAGACGCCCGAAAAGACTCCGCAGAGGCTCCGCGGCGTCCCCGCTATGCCCCCAGGCGGCGCCGAAGGGTCCCAAGGACCCTCCAGGAGTCGTCCTCGTCGTCGTCGTCGTCGACGTCGTCGTCGTTGTCGTCGTCATCGTCGTCGTCGTCGTCGTCGTCGTCGTCGTCGTCCGCGTCGTCGTCGTCGTCGTCGGCGTCGTCGGCGTCGGCGTCGGCGTCGGCGTCGTCGTCGTCGTCGTCGTCGTCGGGCATCAGTACTTTGTTGCCCGAAGGGGGCGTCAGCCGCGACCTCCGGCGCGGCGCAGCCTGAGGAGGGGCAGACTCACCCGGAGAATCGCGATTCGGCAGTGCGGTCGGGTTTCTCGGCACGACCCGCGACCCAAACTTTGCAAGGTAGACCCGCCCAGGGAAAAGGCACCGCCCTGTCCTGCACGGCACCGCCGCCGTTCCTGCTGCTGGGCACCGCCCTGTCCTGCACGGGGCACCGCCCTGCCCTGCACGGGGGAATCCTCAAGTGATCCACTAGAAACGAGCCCCTGACCTCCTCAACGGGTGCTCAAAAAGTGGGAGGCTCATGTCCCGTTGATCCTCAAGAGGTGGGGTGCCCTGGGGTGCGCCTCCGAAGCTAGGGCTGTTCTCGGCCCGTGTGCCAACTGCACCTGGCGAAGCCTGTGGTAGATGCTCCTCAAACACTCTTGCCGAGGTGACTGCTTTGAAAACCTGGCTGTCGTGATCGTTTCAAGACGCCCGAAGACAGGTCGGTCAATCGGTCAGCCCATTATATTCGCTCAATCTCCTTCCCTCCACTGGCCTCTCCTTCCCTCCCATCCCCTCCTCCCATCCTCCTCCCTCCGCCCCCGCCACTCCCCTCCCCTCCTCCTCCTCCTCCTCCTTCTCCTCCTCCCCTCCCTCTCCTCCTCCTCCTCCTCCTCCTCCTCCTCCTCCTCCTCCTCCTTTTTCTTCCCGGCCGCGAGGGGAATTGCTCGGGACCAGCAGCAAGAAACGCCGAACTCCTTCTCAACCGCCACCTCCTCCGCCTCCGCAGGCCCCCGGTGTCCTCCAGAGACCTCCCGGCCTCCAGAGGCCCAGGGAAGCCCGAGGGAGAGGGAGAGAGAGAGAGAGAGAGAGAGAATCACACGCGTGAAGCGGCGGCTACGCTCCATGTGAGCCAAGAAGCCTGCTGACCAAGACGAGAGGATGATGCTGCTGATGATGATGCTGCTGCTGATGATGATGACGAAGACGAAGAAAACGACGACGATGATGACGACGATGATGATGATGACGATGATGATGACGATGATGATGCTGATGATGATAATGAGGATGATAACGAGGAGGATGAGGATGAGGATGAAGCTGAAGAGGGGGACAAGGAGGAAGTGGAGGCGGAGGGGAAGAAGGAGGCCGAAAGCGTTGACAGAGAAGCCGTCAGAGACCTCCCCAGCCGAGCCCAGGGCCAAGAAGCTGATGGTGGGCCCGAATCGCACCGGCAACGGGATCTCGTGCTCCGGCCTCATCGCCCATGCCCGCCGCGACTCGTTCGGGGTCCTCTGGGCGAATGGGTCGGGAGGATCAGGAAGAGGGGGGAGGAGGAAGGAGGGGGGAGATAAGGGGGAGGAGGAGGAGGAGGAGCGATGAAGGAGGACAAGTGGAGAGGGAGGAGGACGAGGAGGAGGAGGAGGAGGAGGAGGAGGAGGAGGAGGAGGAGGAGGAGTAAACCAACTTTGCATCAACGATTCTGCAGTACACCTTCTCGTCCCGAGTCCCCTCCAAGTCCTTATTTTTTCACCTGTCCTCTGCGAGAACCGCCCCACTTGAAAGACGAACGCCAGGTGGGCCTGCCTCTCATGCAGGACCCCGTTTCGGGAAGGATCCACGTTATACCCATCTACTTGTATGGACATGCAAGCAGACAGGGTCACAAAGCTCAAGGAAATGTCCAACGAGAGCTCCGCTTTGAACAAGATTTTCCCTCCATCTGTGTAGATCTTGCGTACGTTCAGAGTTCTTGACGTAGAACCCAAAAATCCTAGACGAAAGCCCCATTCAAAGTAGCCTGGCGAAGAACCCAACCATGTGCAGTTGTGACTGCCGCAATTGTGGGTAGCGACTTCCGTGGAGCTCCGTGTGGGCCACGAAACGTTATACTGGGTGGGGGGGACGCATGCGAACTTTGTCACATGGGCCTTCGGTGGAGCGCCCCCATGGGGCCACGAATCGCTGTGCTGGGTGGGGAAGACGCATGCGAACTGTGCCCCTGGGACCTTCGGTGGAGCCCCCCTTGGGGCCACGAGACGCTGTACTGAGCTGGGGAGACGCATGCGAACAACGCCACTGGGACCTTCGGTGGATCTCCCTATGGGGCCACAGAGCGCAGTACTGGGTGGGGGGGACGCATGCGTACTGCGCCACTGGAACCTTCGGTGGAGCTCCCTCTGGGGCCACGAAGCACTGCACTGGGTGGGGGAGACGCACACGAACTGCGCCACTGGGACCTTCGGTGGAACTCCCTATGGTGCCACGAAGCGCTGTACTGGGTGGGGGAGACGCATGTGACCTGCGCCACTGGGACCGTCGGTGGAGCCCCCTGGGGCCACGAAACGCAATACTGGGTGGGGGGGACGCATGCGAACAACGCCACTGGGACCTTCGGTGGGGCCCTATATGGGGCCATGAAGCGCTGTACTGGTCGGGGGAAACGCATGCGAACTGCGCACTGGGACCTTCGGTGGAGCTCCCTGTGGGGCCACGAGGCACTGTATTGAGTGGGGGAGACGCGTGCGAACTGCGCCACTGGGGCCTTCGGCGGATCTCCCTGTGGGGCCACGAAGCACTGCACTTGGTGGGGGAGACGCATGCGAACTGCGCCACTGGGACCTTCGGTGGAGCTGCCTATGGGGCCACGAGGCGCTGTACTGGGTGGGGGGGGGGGGAGACGTATGCGAATAGCGTCACTAGGGACTTGGGTGGAGCTCCCCCTGGCGCTACGAAGCGCTGTACTGGGTGGGGGAGACGCATGCGACCTGCGCCAGTAGGACCTTCGGTGGAGCTCCCCCTGGGGCCACGAAACGCAGTACTGGGCGGGGGGGGGGGGGGGGGACGCATGCGAACAACGCCACTGGGACCTTCGGTGGAGCCCCATATGCGGCCATGAAGCGCTGTACTGGTCGGGGGGAGACGCATGCGAACTGCGCCACTGGGACCTTCGGTGGAGCCCCCTGTGGGGCCACGAGGCGATGTACTGAGTGGGGGAGACGCGTGCGAACTGCGCCACTAGGGCCTTCGGTTGAGCTCCCTATGGGGCCACGAAGCGCTGTACCGGGTGGGGGAGACGCATGCGAACTGCGCCACTGGGACCTTCGGTGGAGCTCCCTAGGGGCCACGAACACATGCGGGCTGCGCCACTGGGACCTTCGGTGGAAATCCCTGTGGGGCCAGGAAGCGTGTGAGGGTCGTGCCGAAGCTGATGGCGATGATGGTACTGATGTCGGCGATGCTGATGACGATGATGGTGATGATGGCGGCCATGGTGATGATGCTGATGATGACGATGATGGATAGGATGATGGTGATGACGATGATGATGACGATGACGGTGGCGATTGTGATGCTGATGCTGATGCTGATGATGATGCTGATGAGCAAGCTGATGCTGATGCTGATGCTGCTGCAGACGATGATGCTGATGATGGTGATGATGATGATGCTGATGCTGGCGATGATGATACTTATGATGATGCTGATGCTGGTGATGAGAGGCGGGAGGGGGGGGTGGAGGATGAGAGGAGAGGAATGTGGGGCGCTGCCGCTTCAAAACGAGGACCCAACATCACAAAATGGTTGGGGACAATTCGCCCCCATCCATCCGTGGATTTTCTGTTCAATTTTGGATTTCGGGCCATACAATGTGAGGAAATCTCAGAATCGGGAACCCAATGTTGAGAACACACCGTCCTACATCCGTGTAGCTACTGTTTGTCACGGAGAGTGTGCGCTGCTACAAAGCGAGATTATCATCTTGAAAGTGAACACCTCCGCCTGTGTGACGGTTCGTTTTTTTTTCAAATGAGTGTGCGCGGCGCGAAAGCGAAACAACGACCGTACCGTAGGTTGAATGCCACCTGTGCTCCATTCGTGTCACCACTGGACAAGTTGAACACGAACTTGAGCGGCGCCAAAACGAGATCCCCGTGCGATGTTGACAGCCACGAGGGCTCCGTCCGTGTAATTCACTGTCTGGCAATCTTAAAACGAGTGCGCGGGGCGCCGAAGCGAGAACTCTAGGTGAATGTGAACAACAGCGGCAATCTATCCGTGCACCTCCTGTAACCTTCAAGCTTCGAACTTATACATTGTGTGGAAGTCCACGGCAAAACGCCCGGCCCGCCTAGCGAAACGTCTGGTGGGGCGACAGGGAAGATACATTCATACGAAAGAGGGATGGAGGAGGAGGATGAGGAGGAGGAGGAGAATGAGGAGGAGGAGGTGGGAAGGAGAGGGGGAGGGAGGGAGAGGGAGAGGGAAGGGAGGATGAGGATGAGGAGGAGGAGGAGGAGGAAGGAGAAGGGTGGGATGGGCGAGGGGGATTCTGGAGACGGGGGGGAAGAGGGAGAACGCGGGAGGAGCAAGTCTTATGAGTGTAGAAGTGGTGTTGGCATTCGTCGTGCCAGAGATACTAATCGAGAGGGGCCGGGGAATTGGAAGGAGGGGACTTAGAGCGAGAGGGGGATGAATAGCATGAGCATGAGCATGAGTGTGACCATGTGCCATGTGACAGTGTCAACAGAGGGGGATGATGATGATGATGATGATGATGACGACGACGACGACGATGATGATGATGATGATGATGATGATGATGATGATGCTGATGCTGATGCTGATGCTGATGCTGATGCTGATGCTGGTGATGATGATGCTGATACTGATGATGATGCTGCTGATGGTGATGATTATGATGATGATGCTGCTGCTGCTGCTGATGATGATGATGATGATGATGATGATGCTGATGGGGAGGAGGAGGATCAGGAGTAGGGTGGGGGGGAGCAGGAAGCAGGAGAAGGAGGATCAGGAGGTTGAGGAGGAGGAGGAGGAGGAGGAGCAGGAGGAGGAGGATGAGGAGCAGGAGCAAGAGCAGGATCAGGAGCAGGGTGGGGGGGAGCAGGAGGAGGAGGAGGAGGAGCAGGAGCAGCAGGAGGAGGAGGAGGAGGAGGAGGAGGAGGAGGAGGAGGAGAAGAGTGGGGGGGGGAGCGTTGGCTTGGTGCACCGAGGGCCCCCCTGGTGTGGCGGCCCGCTGCCTCTGCCGCATGCAGTTCTGGCTGAACCAGGTTGCTAGCGCCTGGCCGAAGCAGAAGGACGGCCAATACTGTATCAGCACCTCAGTCTTAGGTCGGACATGTCCCCCCACAGGTGGGTTTTGGACGAGAAGTAAAGCAAAAACACAAACATATTCCAAAGTAGTCAACAAATGCTACAAACATCGTCCCCAGACTACTTTTTAAATATTTCCCTACCTAGGCTCTGCCTAGAAGGGTTCTTACTCTCTAGCTTAAAGGGGCCGGGCAGTGGAAAGCGCCCCGGGCGGTTCCCCCAGTCCCCTGGGAGCGGTTCCCCCCTGTCCCCTGGGAGCTTTAGCTTTAGCTTTAGCTTAGCTTTAGCTTAGCTTTAGCTTAGCTGTAGCTTAGCTTTAGCTTAGCGTTTCGCTTAGCTTTTCGCTTAGCGTTTAGCTTAGCTTTAGCTTAGCGTTTAGCTTAGCTTCAGCTTAGCTTTTAGCTTAGCTTAGCTTTAGCTTAGCTGTAGCTTAGCTTTAGCTTAGCTGTTGCTCAGCTTTAGCTTAGCTTCAGCTTAGCTTTAGCTTAGCTGTGGCTTAGCTTTAGCTTAGCTTTAGCTTAGCGTTACTGTTACTACTAATGCTGCTTTCCTAGGGGTTCCAACTCCTAGGTAGGGTCGCACTGGGATAATTTTGAATATTCCGCCTGTAGAGGGACAAACCCGACTCAACCTCAGTCGCCAAGCCACCAGCGCCACGAAGAAATTGCGACGGCCGTTCATGGGATCGCCAAGAATGGGAACATGAGCGGTGGGGATTGTGTCCAGCAGCAAATGCTGCCCAAAACCGACAGCGGCCACGGTTGGGCAGGCGGCTTTCGTCCCGAATGGACAGCGTCGGCGGCGACACCGGCAGCGAGCCCTGCTCAGAATATGCAAGAACTGCTCTTGGCCCGTATCTCCTCTCTTTCCGTCACCAATTCGGTCCTCCAAAGCTCTTGTCATCAAATCCTGGGCCTCCGGAGGCTGGTCTTGGCTCTGGCTGGGAACCATCAGAACCGACCAAAGGTTAAAATCCGGCCTCGGGCAGGGGGCCGAGATCCCGAGGGGGTGTCCGCGGCACGGGCATCAGGGCGACGACGAGGGCGACGAGCCCAAGTGGCATCGGAGTTCTGGGCCCACCTCCCGTGACACCTGGTACGTACCATCAACGAAACAGTGACGGGCGTCTTTTGTTTTCTTGTTGCAGCTGCCCCGTTTCGAGCCCCTTGGCAATCTGACGGACCGACCTGGCTCGAAGCATCCAGCACGAAGATGGGGCTGGGAGCTCCGGCCATGCCTTGCACAACGTGGCGATCTGTTTTACTTTCTCATGGTCCTCCAACCCTCACCTGCTTCTCCGCTGTGGCCTCACGACCACCGTCGCCCATGTTCACACCCCACGAGGCCCCCCACCCCCGACCACGACGGCGGCAAAGGCAGGCTTGCCGCGTGGGCGCCGCGACTTGGTGTGGCACTCTGGGAGCGGCCCCGCCCTCGAACGCCGGCCTCGGAGGCCACGGCGAGGAGAAGAGCGGCTTCGCTCGCGAACCGCTGCGCCCGCGGGCCGCTCCGCCCCCGTCGGTTTCACCGCCGTCAACTCCGCCAAGAACCAAACAGCTCGCGCGCCCGACCCGCTCGCTAGGGCCCGCCCGCCTGACACGCCCGTCAAGGTCCGCACGCTCGCCTGCTATGCTCCACCCGCCCGACCCGCCCATGAGGGTCCGCCCGCCAGGCCCGCCCGTTCGGGTCCGCCCGCCCGACCCGCCAATTCGGCTCCGCCCGCCCTGCCCCGTTTTTGAGGGTCCGCCCGCCAAGCCCGCCGCCCGCTTGGGTCCGCCCGCTCGACCCGCCTACCCTGGTCAGCCCGCCCGACCCGCCCTCTCCAGGTCCGCCCGCCCGGCCCCCTTCCGACGGTCCGCACGCGAGGCCCGCCCGTTAGGGCTAGGTCGGGCCAGTCCCCATACCGGGGGGGTTTTGGGCGAATAGCTAAACATGCCTCCCAAAAGGCGCCCAAAATACAACAAATCATGAGACAATCCTCCCCAGACTACTCTTTTTTTGTTTTGTTTTGTTTTGTTTTGTTTTGTTTTTTTGTGACAATTTTTGAATACTCCTCCTGTAGAAAGATACGCCCGACTTAAATTTGGACGCCCGAAATGGGTACGGAAAGAATGGGTACAATGCCCAACAACAAATGTTGTCCCAAACCAACAGCGGCCGCTGTTGGGCAGGCGGCCTCCTGTCTCGAACGGACACAGGCCGCGGCGGCGCGGACAGCGAGTCCTGTTCAAAATGAACAAGATCCGCTGTTGGGCATTGTGCTCATTCTTTCCGTGCCATTTCGTTCGTGCAGATTAACGCCAGGCCCGCCCGTGAGGGGCCGCCCACCCGACCTGCGCGTGAGGCGGGCGACGGCGGCCCGCCTGCGAGGCGGTCTCCGCGGGCACCGTGGTCCGCCGGCGAAGCGGTCCGCCTGCGAAGCGGTGCGCCGGCGAAGCCGTCCGCCTGCGAGGCGGTCTCCGCAGGCGAAGCGTTAAGTCGGGCCTGTCCCTCTACAAGGGGATTTTCGACGAAAAATCGGGAATACCCCACAAATACCTCAAACAAATAAAAGAATAATAAAAAAATAGTCCCCGGACTATTTTTGGAGTATTTTTGGATTATTTGTGGGGTATTTTTCGTCGAAAATCCCCCTGTAGGGGGACAGGCCCGACTTAAGCGAAGCGGTGCGCCGGCGAAGCGGTCTCGTGCCCATCGGCATCGTCTCCCCCACTTTCGAAGGCGAAAAATCCACCCCCATAATAACCACCCCGACACGCGAAGCGGTGAACTGAACGCCCCCCACTGAAGGAATCGAACCGGGCAGGGCTGTTCAGAAAGCGCCCAAGGCCGTTAAGCAAACGCCAGTTGTCCGGTCCGGGTGGTTTTTCCTCCCCTGACACTTGACCCGTCCCAGCACCCCGCCTGCCAGGTATGTCCGCGGGTGCCGTCGCCGGAGGCGGGGGTGCCATGTTCGGATGCCTCCCAAATAGAGTCCGAGTGGATAGGGTCGGAAGATCGCGCCGCATCGCCGATGCATCGCCGATGCGTCGTCGATGCGTCGCCGATGCGTCGCCGATGCATCGCCGACATTGGCAGTGCATCGGCGACGCCACCGCGGATCAGATCGGGCTCCATATCGAGCCGCATCGGCGGTGCGGCGCGATCCTCCAACCCAATCTGCTCGGTCCCCCATTGAGAGGCCTAAAATTTGGGTCATCGATCGTTCACTCTCAGTTCGTTTCGGGGAGGGCGTCGCGCCCTCTCGCATGAACTCGCGCTCGCTCTCTCGTGGGGGCGCGCTCGCCAGGCTCGCTATCGCCTTCTGCTCGCCCGCTCGCGCGATACTGGGGCCACTGCCCAGAGTGGCGTGTCCGCGAAGAAGTCCGCAGCCGTGCCCCTTGGCACGCGGAGGCGTGGTAGAATGCCAACTTGGCGGCGCGCTCGCGAGGGTGGTGCGAGTGGGGGCTGGCCTTCCCGGAAGGCGGGGGGGCTTCTCAGAAGGCAGGGGCCATTGCGGAGAACAGCCTGGGCGCGGCGAGGCGGGGCACCGACGTACGACCAGAAGGACGGCCCTGCGACAGCAAGGAGGAGGAGGAGGAGGAGGAGGAGGAGGAGGAGGAGGAGGAGGAGGGGAGGAGGAGAGGAGGAGGAGAGGGGGAGGAGGGGGAGGGGGGAGGAGGAGGAGGAGGAGGAGGGGGAGGACGAGGAGGAGGGGGAGAAGGAGGAGGAGGAGGAGGAGGAGGCTTCGTAGAAGCCAGGAGGGCTTCTGAGAGGCCCCTTTTGCCTTCTTTCAAGGGCCCTCCAGGCTTCTGAGGAAAGGCCTCCCCCTCTCGCCGTTCCCCCTGTGCGCGCCGCCAGGCCCAGGGCTGTCTGGCGCATGTTATGGGGGAGGAGCAGGAGGAGGAGGAGGAGGAGGAGGAGGAGGAGGAGGAGGAGGAGGAGGAGGAGGAGGAGGAGAGATGAGGAGGAGCAGGAGGAGGAGGAGCAGGAGGAGGAGGAGGAGCAGGAGGAGGAGGAGGAGGAGGAGGAGGAGGAGCAGGAGGAGCAGGAGCAGGAGCAGGAGCAGGAGCAGGAGGAAGAGGACGTCAACCCCAACCAACTCTCCGGCCAACCTGGGCCAACCCTCTCGGCCAGACCCGGTTCGGGCCATTCTTCCCACCAGAGACAATAAGAAGTCTTCCACGGCCCCCCCTCCCATCCTCGCACACGGGCTGCCTGCGTCCCCCGACTCCTGACGCGCCCCGTGCGGCCCGACGTCGCCCTGGGGCTCCTCGACGCTCTCCAAGGCTTTCTAAGAAGGCCCAGGAAGTCCACCAAGGCCGCCATTGTAGCTCCACATTGCCTCAAGTTCATCCAGCCTGTCCCGAGAAGGCCCCAAGTGGCGCCGAAGGGGCCCCAAGACGCCTCCAGGACAGCAGCGCTAAGGTCAGAAGGCCCTCCAGGACTGCCCAAACCATCCAACAACTGGAGGACACCAGTTGCCTCTTGAACATTTTGGGCTCCTGTGCCTCTCGGCTCAAGATGACTTCAAGAGGGCCTCCGAGGAGCCGGATGCAGCCCCAAATGCGGCCCAGACAGCCCCCCAATGAGAGCCCCTCGAAGACGATACACGAGTACGGCCTTGGGTGCTCGAAGCGTCGCCACGCAGAATGCTGCGCTGGCAGCCTGACGGGACTCGCCGCAGGCAGACGGATACCATTCCATGACAGCTGACGGGATAGCAATCAAGCAGGCGATGCTCAATAACGTCCAGACAACGTAGCTCTCGGAGTTGATCACCTGGTGCATCTGAGACCATCCCATCAGATATACGGTCAAGAATGACAGCCACTGCCCCACCAACGCATAAGGGAATGACGGTTCCGACCAGATCAGACCGTTGATGAGCACCATGTTCCCGAGGTAGTGGCACCAGTCCTCTGCATTCACTGTCCACGCGCGAGCCGCACACACGGTAAGGGCCATGGCGTAAAAAGGATACCAAGTGGACACGCGCTTGCATGTCGCGGCCAACCAATCCTCTTGCCGGTTTGGATCTGGCCCCAATATCTTCGAAAGCGAGTTGGAGAATCCGCTGACCACGAAGAACCATGGCCACGCGAGGCCCCCCCACCTCGCGAGAATGGTAAAAGCTCCTGCGACCGAATAATTCTGGCGCCCCGGATTGTGGAAGTTGTTCGCAACCGCCAGCCAGCAGAATATGTAGCGAGTGAAGCCCAATGCAGCAAGGCAGGTCCTGCCTCGCACGACGAGCTCTTCATCGTCCTTCTGTTCTGGATCCTGCTGCCCCCCCCTCGCCAAAAATAACTCTGCAGTCCACGCGAGTCCTATCAACAGAAAGACCGCCAAAATGCCAACCGCTCTCCAAGCTGCCGCCGACGTACTTTCATCAAGATCATCATTCGTCTTCTGATACTTTGCGATGGCGGTCGATGCTACCTTGAGAGCTCCAGCGACATCACCCTCTCCTAACATCTGAATAGACTCGGACATTGCCTTCGAGAACGTGTCCGTGGCGATCTTGGCTTTTTGGGCGATCACTGGCACGCCGAGTTGCAAGACGTGCATCGGTTGGCTGGCGATCTCGACTGCGGCATCCACCAAGGCCTGCTTTGTAGCGTCCGTGCGAGTTGCTATCTCGTCGACGGCGCGAAGCAGCGTGACGCCCGAGGTGCCGTCTGCGCGTTTCTCGATCTCGTTGATGGTGTTACGCATCCCCTCAGACCTTATCGGCTGTCCGGCTGTATATACATATATATATATATATATCTACATCTATATCTATCTATATTGTTTTCCCCCTATTCTTGGTGACGGTCTTCACCAGGGGGTGGGTGATTGGGCCCGCGACGGAGCCGGGAACCCGGGAACCCAGCCTGCTACCAAAATCGGCGGGAAACTTTCGCCAAATCCTTCAATTCCCGCTGGGACCCCTTCAGTGCAAGCACTGATTGGGGAAACCGTGTTTATCTATAGATGCTATTTAGTATTATATTGTATGATCTATCATATATCTACTCGAAACATTCGCGCGCTCTGTTTCTCGGTCGCCCTACGCCTTGGAAGCAAGCACAACGGCTGAAACAGAAGCGGTAAGCTCTCTGGGAGCGCTTGCGGGCTCGTGTCGACAGTGCTTCCGTACCTTATGATTGTTCTGCGCAGAAGGTCGCGTCAAATGTGTCGTCGAATTGAGCGCTCCCTCTGCTTCCTCGCGTCCTCGTATTATATCCACGGCGAATTCCTCATTCCCTCGCTCATTCCGCCTTGCCGTCCTCGCCCCCCTCCACTGAACCCATCCTCATTTTGCAATGCCGCCATTCACTGCATTACTTCATTCATGTGCTGCTTCGATAGTCAATTCGTTTGCGAACCTCGCCAGCCCTTGGGGTCGTGAGTGGTTGAGCAAAATAATTGTTCTCAATTCTTTCTTCCTCTTTGGGGAGGGGGGTGTTTTTTTTTTTTTTTTTTTTTTTTTTTTTTTCTCTCTCTCTCTCTCTCTCTCCCCCCCCTCCCCCCCGAGTCTGGGCCCCTCCCTCGACGCGTTAGAACACCCAAGAAGGCTTACATTGGCTCCACGAAGGATCCAAGCAGCCCAAGATGGCTTGAGGATCTGTGGAAATAGCTCATGATGGTCAAATACAGCTTCTAACATGCCTCCGAGAGGCCGCACGACCGTTCCAAGGCGGCTACTGGTGGCCAAGGAGCCCCTCACGGAGGTCCCCGAGAGATCAGCATTCTTGTTGTTCAGAGTTGTTTACCTTCTTACTGTTTAATTTCCCAAATTCGCTTGAGGTCTCAAGGTAACTCCAGTATATAATATAGCCTGAAGAGGGTAACAATATGCGCCCATGAACGCCTCAAGACGGCAAGAGGACACCAAGAACGCCGCAAGAGGGCACCAAGAAACGATCTTTGAGGCTTCGACGTGGGGCTGCAATCGGCGTTGCCCCCGTTTCTGCGCGATGGCCTCCAAGATGGCTCCAGTAGGGTCCCCACGGCGTCCAAGATGGCTCCAAGATAGATCCAAGTAAGCTTAACGATGGTCCTAAAAGACTTCAGGAGGATCCCAAAAGGGTCCCACAGAGAGCACACGAGGCATCCGAAATGCCCGAACAGGGCTCAAAAGGGGTTCCTCGAGGCCTCAAACTGCAATGTCGTACGCCTTGCTGCTTCATTACATGCTTATCGGCGCTCCTCCTTCATACAACTCCCCTGGGCATCGTTCTTAGACGTGTTAGTGGGGAAACGCGAATGGGTAAATATTGGTGCCGGCCTCCGCAGTGCAAGCTGCCTGGCGTCTCCATGCCACGCTCGCTTCTGCGCGGGGATCCTGGCGTCCGCTCCGTTTTCTTGGTTGGCCTTCCCGCGAGGACCTTTTGTGGCGTTCGTCCTCCTCCTCTCTTCACCGCCCGTCCCTCCTTCCCGCGCTCATTCGTCGTCGTCCTTCCAAGAAGGAGCTTTGTGAAAGTATGTTGGGACTTCTTCGGACATTTGCGGGGCTCCTGGGAGCCTCTTGTGTGCATTTTGGGGGCGTCTTGAGGGCGCCTTGGGGGCCTCTGGGGGGGCCTTGGGGGCCTCCTGGGGGTCTCTTGGGGGCCTCTTGGAAGCCTTTTGGGGCCTCTTGGAGGCCTCTTGGGGGTGTCTTGGACGCCTCTCGGGGCCTCTTGGGGAGATTCTTGGGGGGCCTCTCGGGGCTCGTGAGGGCCTCTTGCGACTCTTGGGGGCCTCTTGGTGGTCTCTTGATGACGTATTGGAGCGTCTTGGAGGCCTCTTGGGGGCCTCTTGAGGCCTCTTGAGCGCCTTTTGCGGCTTCCTGGGGTTTCTTGAAGGCGTCTTGAGAGCCTCTTGAGGTTGGGGCTCACCTTGAAGCCTCGGAAGCGCATCTCAAGCGCAAAAGCTGGAAAGGCAACAGTTATCGATTTCCCATAAGTTTTTGAAAGATTTTAGTTCCTCGGGCTCCTCCCCGGACGCGCGTTTTGACAACTTCTTGGGCACCATTGGGAGCACATTCGGCCGTCTTGTGAGCATCGTGGGCCGTATTGGAGCAGTCGTGGGTCGTCTCGGGGGCGCCCTGGACTATCCTGGAGGTTCTTCGGGCTCTCGGAGGCCGTGTCCGAGCGTTTTCTTGCCGTCTCGGAGAGGCCCGAGATCCCCGCCACGGGCAGAGGGGTCTGTAGTCTGCCCTTGAGGCCCCCGGCCCTGGACCCGGGCTGTATGTCTGTTTGTCTGTCTGTCTGTCTGTCTGCATGTATGCATGCATGCATGCATGCATGCGTGCATGTAGAATTGTGTGCATATGCACATATATATTTATGTGTATTTTTTTTTTATATATATATATCTATACACATGTGCATGTACATGTATTTGTATGTGCCTGTGTACGTGTTTGTACATATATGAATATAGCCGCGTCGATTGCACCGCATGGCTTGCCCTATTTTTTGCATCGCCTATATTGCACCACGTTCACTGCATTGCATCGATTTTCCTTTCCTCCCTCGTCGTCGTCGTCGTCCGTCGTCGGCATCTCGTCGTCGTCCCTCCTATTTCGTCGCCGTCGTCGTCGTCGTCGTCGTCGTCGTCCCTCCTCCCTCGTCGTTGTCGTCGTCGGCGTCGCCGTCCTCCCTCCTTCTTCGTCGTTCGCGTCGTCGCCGTCCTCTCTCCTCCCTCGTCGTTGTCGTCGTTGTCGCCGTCGTCGTCCTCCCTACTCCCTCGTCGTCGTCGTCGTCGTCGTCGTCGTCGTCGTCTTCGTTGGCGACGTCGTCGGCGTCGTCGTCGTCGTCGTCGTCGTCGTCGGCGTCGTCGTCGTCGGCGTCGTCGTCGTCGTCGTCGTCGTCGGCGTTATCATCGTCGTCGTCGTCGTCGTCGGCGTCGTCGTCGTCGTCGTTGTCGTCGTCGTCGTCGTTGTCGTGGTCGTCGAAGTCGTTGGAGACGCCGTCGGTGTCGCCGTAGTCGTTGTCGGCGGCGTCGTTGTGGTCGTCGTCGTTGTCGCTGCCGTCGTCCTCGTCGGTGTCGTTGCCAAATGCCATTTGGTACCTACCGTCACGGTCTTAAGAGGTCTTGCGGCCAAGTTGCGGGTGGGAGGGTGGGATGTTTGCACGAGCAGTGGATGGGACAGCTTCAAGTTGAGCAAATGATTGGTTCTCCTTTTTTGTAAAAAAGAATAGACTCACCCCCCCCCGGAATTAACGATACACCTCGTATTGCAATTTACATATGGTTCTGCCCCAGCGTCCACCCTAAATGTGAATTCATACTATCCAAGCCAAACCGGTATCACTCCCTACCGCCATCCTCTGCAACAAATAGTATGCGCGCTCGTTTATAAAGAATAAAAGATTTCCAGGAACCCTTTGGACAAAAAACTGGACGAAGTGCACACGCGCGCGTCGTCGCGCGCGCATGCCGAAATCCTTCAAAAACTTTCGGTTTCGGAAGGATTTCAATATCGAGTTTCCAAAGAACACAAGAACACACATGGTTTTGCAACACTGATGTTCTTAAAAAGCTTACGCGCGCGCTCCTGCGAAATCTTAAGAAAACCATACTTGTTTTTCAAACTTTTCAAAAAATTCTGCCAAACGGGCTTCGCGCGAGCGCGCATGTCGAAATCTTTCGAACGCCCTTGCGCGCGTGCCGTCGCGAGAATCCTCTGCAAAAAAACGGGACGAAGTGCAGACGCGCGCGTCGTCGCGCGCGCATGCCGACGACATCCTTCAAAAACCTTCGATTCCGGAAGGATTTCAAAATCGTGTGTCCAAAAAACATACAAAAGCAAAAGGTTTCACAACACGGATTTTCAACAAAAGCGTGCGCGCGCGCTCTTGTGTCGTCGTCGTCGTCGTCGTCGTCGTCGCCGTCCTCCCTCCTCCCTCGTCGTCGTCGTCGTCGCCGTCGTCGTCATCTGTCTTTCCTCGTCGTCGTCGTCGTCGTCCTCTTTGGCGTCGTCGTCGTTTCCGTCGTCGTTGTCGCCGTGGTCGTCCTTCCTCCTCCCGCGTCTTCGTCGTCGTCCGTCGTCGGCGTCTCGCCGTCGTCCCTCCTATTTCGTCGCCGTCGTCGTGGTCGTCGTCGTCCTCGTCGTTGTCGCCGTCCTCCCTCGTCCCTCGTCGTTGTCGCCGTCGTCGTCCTCCCTACTCCCTCGTCGTCGTCGTCGTCGTCGTCGTCGTCTTCGTTGGCGACGCCGTCTTCGTCGTCGTCGTCGTCGTCGGCGTCGTCGTCGTCGTCTTCGTCGTCGTCGTCATCGTGGTCGTCGTCGTCGTCGTTGTCGTCGTCGTCGTCATCGTTGTCGTCGTCGTCGTCGTCGTCGGCGTCGGCGTCGGCGTCATCGTCGTCGTCGTCGGCGTCGTCATCGTCATCGTCGTCAGCGTCGGCGTCGTCGTCGTCGTCGTTGTCGTCGTCGTCGAAGTCGTCGGAATCGTCGTCGGTGTCGTCGTAGTCGTCGTCGGCGTCGTCGTCGTTGTCGCTGTCGTTGGCGGCTTCTGTTACAAATGCCATTTGCTACCTACCGTCACGATCTTAAGAGGTCTTGCGACCAAGTTGCGGGTGGGAGGGTTGGATGTCTGCACGAGCAGTGGAGAGGACAGCTTCAAGACATTCAAGGTGAATTGCACCATACATATACTGCACTGCATCGGTTGCACAGCTTAGATTGCAACGCGTATATCGCACCACGTACTTTGCACCACATACATTGCACGGCGTAGAACTGCACCACACATATTACACTGCATCGCGCACACTTCACCACATCGGTTGCACCATATCTGTTGCACCACATAGATTGCAAGGCATACATATATATATATATATATATATATATATTCTGCTGCTGCAACACATCGACTGCACCACATCTATTGCCCTACGTAGAGTGTACTGCAAGGGTTGCGTCACACAGATTGTACCACGTACCAGGGACACGTTTTGATAAGATTCTTTCAGGGAGGAGGGGGGAGGAGGAGGAGGAGGAGGAGGAGGAGGAGGAGGAGGAGGAGGAGGAGGAGCACGAGGAGAAGGAGGAGGGTGGAGGCTGCCCGATCAGGTCATCGGATTTCGGGCTTTGCCATGCGCGTGGCGTGCCAGGGAGCCTGAACGGGAAACGCCACGCCCGGTGAGGCGTCCGCAGAAGATTCGTTCCCCTAGTGCTGCTGTTGCTGCTGCTGCTCCTCTAGATGGAGGTGCCAAATGGCCCGCCTCCGGGACGCCAGCGGGAATGGAACTGGAACCCCTCAGAACAAACCAGCGCAGTCCTGGAAGCCTCCGCCGAGCTGCTGTCAACGCAGCCGCCCCCGTTCTGCTGCCGCCGCTCCCTCAGAGAGGAAGCCTTCTCAGGAACTGGTCGTGTGGCGTCGTGCGGTCGTGCGGCAAGATCACGTCGCGTCTGTTTCGAACACCGCTTGGATGGTGCAAATCTTGAGCGATCGCTGCTTTCCGATGGAGGAGATCGCTCGATGTCGGCCGATACTGGGCCACTGGCGGCGTTCAACCTTGGAACACCTGCGCCGAGGTCGTCGCCGCGTCGACGCGGCGCGAGCCTGCCCTACGGCGTCGTCGTGGCGTCGAGGCGTCGCACCTGCGTCCCAGTGCCGCGGCATCGTCGCGGCGTCGTGTCGTGATCTGGCGGCTGCTGTCCCGGTGAAGCGCGTTTGCGATCACAGACGCGGAAACGGAGCGTGAACCAGATCACGACACGCACGAGCCACGCGGGGTCTCATCGGTAGGCATGCCTTGATCGCCGCGTTCCCTCCGCGGGCAAGCACTAAGCGAGATGCCTGTCGGCCTGGTGCATGGCGTCGGTCGCAGACTGCGCTGGATTTTCGCTGTTCGCCTTTGCCGTCCCAGGCCGAAACAATGAGAGAGCCGCCGCGGGCGCCACAGCCACCGTCGCGAGGAGGCAACATGCGAGCGCCGTGGCAGTCATCCCAGGCACCTTTATCAGAAGAACCTCATTTGATATGGATGTAATGCATTGCCGAAGTGACTGCAGAAGCAGCCAGCTTCAGCGTTAAGGGCAAGCTTCGATTCGAGCCACATGAAAACGGATTGGTCTCCCTCTCCTGTCCTCCACCCTGCCCCTGCTATATTTCTCATCCTTCAGCTAACGGTTGTAACAACACCCGTCCCTCAGGAAGCCCCCAAGAAGCCTGACCCTACACTGCGCTAGCGTAAAGCATCAGACATCAGAACAACGGACTACCTATGGACACAGACAGCGCTATGAATTCTGGTAATGGGTGACCGTGCACAATGTTTGCCAGACTGGGCCCCAAACAGTGGATTCTTGAACTCTCGATGTGTGCGCTATGCGGTGCCATCTATGTGGTGCAAGCTATGTGGTGCCAGCAGTGGGGGTGTAATCTAGGTGGTGCAGTCTGCGGGGTGCAATCTATGCGGTGCATTGTATGTGGTGCCAGCGATGTGGTGCAATCTATGCAGCGCGTGCTGTGCAAGCTAAGTGTGCATGCCGAAGAGCCAGCGCACGAGGCGCCCGTGCGGCGTTCACGGGCGGGCACTCGGCGAAAACCTGGACACGCCAGCCACCCTACGGGGCGCCCACGGGTGGTCGCCGCGGGAAAACCTGGACATGCAAGCCAAGTGCCAAGAATACGCGTCAGACCCCCTCAGTGCAATCACTGCTTGGGGAATGGTTTAGCTGAGTTGAATCAAAGAGCACAACAACGGACATGTCGTAACTGCGCTTCAACCGGCAGGTGCTAACTAAGTGGTAGGCATTGCAATTACCCCTCCAGTGCCGACGCGGGGTAGACACGCTGACATGACGTATCAACGTAATTGGTCTGATGCGCCCGTGGAGTAACCAAATCGTGGCTATGATGCAAGGAATGACGTAACGATTGTGAAATGTGCCGCGGTGAACTGCAACACAGCGGCTACGCTTTGTCAGTGCAATGACTGCGGACCAGCCGTGCGATAACTGTACGCAGTGCGTGCGGGATGGCTGCCCCGTAACCTCAAAGTGGCTACGCTCGAACCGCTGACCCCTTTCCCTCTTTCCTGCCCATCCTCAAGCCCATGCAGGTTACATCGGACAACCTCTGACCCTCCCCACCCTCCTCGTCCTCCTCCTTCTGCTCACCTCGCGAGTCTTCTCCTCCTCCTCCTCCTCCTCCTCCTCCTCCTCCTCTCCTGCTCCATTTTTCCCTCCCCCCCCTCTCCTGCTCCATTTTTCCCTCCCCCCCCTCTCCGCCACCAGGAGCACCGACGCCTGTGAAGGCCATCATGGCGACGCGGCCGTGCTTGAGCTCGACGTCCCGGCGACGCAGGAAGGCGCCCTGCGCAGCACTTTGTTGCCTCTCTGTCTCTTGCTCTGCCCGTCTGTGTTCCCAGCATTTTGCCCTCGGACCGCTGGTATCCTGGAGAACCACTCTGCCCTGGCAAGTCAGTGCGGAGCAGCCCTGGTCTCCCCTTTTGCACGACTCCTCCCGTGGGCCGCAGCGCCAGCAGCCAGTCCAGTTCATCTTATTCTGAATGCCATTCCCGCATTTGGAGGAGGAGGAGAAGGAGGAGGAGGAGGAGGCCCTCCCTCCGCGGCCGCTCTCTTCCCTGCGCTCCCGTCCTGGTCCACTTCCGCCATCGAGCACCCCGCCCCCGGCCGACCCGCGCTTTTTGCAAGCGCCAGCGCTGCGACAGAAACTGCCTGCCTGCCTGCCTGCCTGCCTGCCTGCCTGCCTCCACCACCTCCTCCGCCTTTTTCCATTCCTCCCTCCTCCCTCCTCCTCCTCCTCCTCCGCCTCCTCCTCCTCCTCCTCCTCCTCCTTTTCCTTTTCCTCCTCCTCCTCCTCCTCCTCCTCCCTCCTCCATTTGAAGCGCTTAAGCACCTGACGGCAAGAGAGGCCTCCGGACGCTGCCGACGCTGTCGGTCCGTCTGTCTCTCGCACAGGACATCGGCGGCACGCAAAAAGGGGGGAAGGGCGAGAGGAGGGGCCTTTCGAAACGAAGGGGTCCTCTCAGACCCCCCCCCCCGCAAGACACCGGTCCTTTCTAAGAAACCTTCTTGGAAGGCTTCCAGCTCGTCCTACCCCCAGCGCAAATCCCACCAGCCCTCTGGGCGTCGGTGGTTTAGAGCGTTTCCTCTTCCACCCCTGCTTCTTCCCCTTCGGGGAAGGGTTGATCACTGTTCCCTATTAATATACACCCCCTCACCCAGGCGACTGGGAGCCAACCAGGGTCAATGCGGGCCCCCCCTTCCATCCCTTGTAAAAAAAACAATGCAAAACACACTCTGCCCCCAAATTCGGAGCATGCGCAGCGAACCCGATGCGGCCTCCCCCCACCATCCCTGTCACAAAAACCATACAAAGTACACTTGGCGGCGGCGGCGGCGGCGGGGGCATCGGCTGCGGCGGCTGCGGCGGTGGCGGCGGCGGTGGCGGCGGCGGCGGCGGTGGTGGCGGCGGCGGCGGTGGCGGCAGCGGCGGCAGCGGCTGCGGCGGCGGCGATGCGGCAGCGGGGGCGGCGGCGGCGGCGGCGACGGCGACGGCGGGCGGCGCGGCGGCGGCGGCGGCGATCGGCGGCGGCGGGCGGCGCGGCGGCGGCAGCGGCGGACAGCGGCGGCGGCGGCGGCGGCGGCGCGGCGGCGGCGGCGGCGGGCGGCGGCGGCGGCGGCGGCGGATTCGCTCCTAGTAGCTGCCCATCCAAAAACGACTGCTCAGTATGTTGCGGCTCGGGCCAGGCTCGGGTGCTACGTATGTGTTGGGAGGGCGGGTGGGAGTGAGCGAGACGGCTTGCGGGCGGGGAGGGAGTCTTGACCTCTCCCCCTACCCCCTCCCCTGGACCTGGACAGGGGGAGTCGCGCGGTGTCAGGGCGTCCAGAACGGCCTCGGCGAGGAAACCACAATCATTGGTTTTACCAGGGTTTTGGCCCCATTTTGGCCTCTTGGGGGGTGTAACTAGTACCCCCCCATTCCTGTGATCGATCTCACCCAAGATGGCCCAAATATGGCCTTCAATGCTCCCAAGTGCCCCAAGAGGTGGCCAGGAAACCCCAACAGGCCCCCCAAAACGGCCCCCAGGATGCCCCCCAAAAGGCTCCCAAGAGACATCCAAGAGGCCCCAAGAGGCCCCCCAGAGGCACCCAAGACGCTCCAAGAGGCCTCGGCGACAATGCCAAAATCGTTGATTATACAAGAGGTTTTGGCCACATTTTGGCATCCTGGGGGGGGCACTGCTTCAGATGACTCCAAGATCGCCTGGGGGAGCCAAAGATGATCTCCAAGATGGCTCCAGGTATCCCAAGATGCCTCAAGATGGCGCCCACGATGCTCCAAGAGGCCCCAAGTCCGTTCCAAGACGGCTCCAAGTGGCCAACGAGCTCCCGCAGGAGGCCCCGAAGAGGCCCAAATCCTTCCCAAACCAAAATAAAATCCATGGTATTTTCTCGCCGAAGCCTCAAGATGGCTCCAAGATGGCCCAAGAGGGCTCCAAGAACGCTCCCAAGGCTCCCAAGAGCGCGTCAAGAGGGCCCCAGGAGGCGTACAGGAGGCCCCAGGAGGCCCCAACAGGCGCCCAAAAGGCCTCCCAAGACGCTCTAAGCGGCGTCCGGGACCGCCAAGAGGCCCCCAAGACGCTCCAAGAAGCCTCCACTGGGGGACCCTTCCTCTGTGTGCTGCCCGCTTCCCTGATCGAGGCAATTCCTCCGGGCATCGTTTCTGGATGGGCTGGTGGGGATTCGCGAAGCGTCAACAATTCGCCAAGCACTGGTCCACAGACCTCCCACTGGGTTCCTGGCTTTTGGTCCCTTCGATTAGGTTTTTTTAAAAGGGATTGCAGCGGAATCGTCTTCATCGCACCGTGTGGCTGGGACGGGGGGCCTCATCTCTCCGCCCCGCCCCGCGGCGGCGCGCATGCAGCGCCGAAAACTTTGTGCCTGTATCCTCGACTGCCCCCCTGGCCAGGGGGCTGCTGAGGGCATGCCTGGCCCAAGGTGCCCTTAACTTTTCTCGCTCCACTTTGGGATCTCCCTGGGGACCTCTGGGGCCTCGTGAGGTGCGCGGCTGCTAAACTTGTGCCTGGCCCAAGGTGCCCCCCGTTTTTTTTTCGCTCCGTTTTGGGATCTCCCCGTGGACCTCTGGGGCCTCGTGAGGTGTGCGCCTCGTGAGGGGTGCCCTGGGGGCCGTGGGGGCCCTCCTCGGAAAATCCCGGGGACACCAAAGGCCAAGCATCCAGGCCCCGCCCCCCTCGACATCACGATTTTTCCGCGCCGACCCCCCGAGGTCTCGAACGATTCCCCGGGGCCGTTTCTTCGCTCCGAGTCCTTTCTTTTGACGGCCCTTTGGCCGTCTCTCGGACGTCCATCCCTTGTGCACTCTTTGATATCGCGGGTGCATTTTTCTGCCAGATGACCCAGGGCGCTCTCCGATGGTCCTCGCCGAGGAAAAAATATGCACACGTCCGCGGGAGAGGGCCCTCGGAGGCCGAAAGCAGCAGCGCAATCCCTCGCCGCGCTTCTGCCACGACGCGAGCCTGTCTGGGTTGGGGCCAGGGACGCCCCTGGCAGCACCTGGCCTGGGCGCGCCGCCTGGCGCAGCGGCCGCCCGCCACCGAGGGCACGCAGGGCTCCCCGGTGGGTGCCCGAGCCGGGGCCTTTTTTTTGTTTTTTATTGTTTTTGTTTTTTCTCGACGCGCGCGCAGAACGAGCGGTCAAGCGCCTCGGCGGCGCCGTGCCCAGCTCAGACGCATGCACCTAATTAGGGGTGGAGGGGGCCCTCCGCGGCGGACCTCGTAAGAGGTGATCGTGTAGGAGTATGAGCATGAGGCAATGCCCACTCGTGAAGCGAGCCCAGCACGAATCGACCACACGCCTCGGCCGATGAGACCGGAGAGGGTCCCCGCGACCCCACGATTGCGATGGGAGGCTCAGTCGCTGTTGCCATGCCTTGCGTCCTCTAGTCGGGCTGCTGC